ACCCCTCTCTCTCTCAAACGCTCTGCCCCTCTTTCCTGTTTTTTTTTTTTTCTTTTTTCTTTTCAGCATTGCAAGCATTTTAGCATTTTGTAGTGTTAATATGGTCTAGGTCAATCTTGACATTCTTTGCTAACTGCAACACTGATTAAGCTTCTTCTTTTTTTTTGTTGTTGTTTGAAATGATTTGTTATTAGCTAATGGTTAAAGAAGGCATGAGACAATTACTTGTCCAGTCTTTATGTGGCTTAAAATATGTTTTGGGAGGTTTGATTAAGTAAATGAATGATTATTGATAAATTCAAAAACTGATACTGTAAAAATAAATAGCTTGAATAAAATCTAAACAAACAAAAAAACTGTAATCACAATTTGCATCTATTGTTTGAAAGTGTTATTTAAAAAAAACTTGTTTCATTTCTGTTCATTTCAGCAGGCAACTGATAGGACAAAATAAATTAAGTTTTTATCATATTTGCACTTTTAAATGAATTTAAAGAAATATGGCTAAACAATTTAATTACATTTTTCTAAGAAACTTTTTATTGTTTTTAGAAGTGAAAAGTGCACATAGTGCTTTGCTCAGTGACATTAGGCCTTTATATACATTACTTTGCAAGCTTTTAACTTTTGCCTTGATTTTGGTGATATAGATACTTTGTCATTATCCCTATATGTTAAGAAAAATGTCCAGATTGATTGAGATCAGGTATTGTTTAATGAGCTGAGACATAGCCTAATCAAGCAACGTATTAATTTATTTAAGTTACATTTTGATGAAATATTATTAAATATATATAAAACATCATTTGTTTGATTACTGAAACATCACTTGATGTTTGTCATCTGATTCCAGTGGCATCTACGATGTATGGGTTTATAGCTAAATTTAATAAATAGGCAGTGTTGGGGGTAACGCATTACAAGTAACGCGAGTTACGTAATCAGATTACTTTTCCCCAAGTAACTAGTAAAGTAACGCATTACTTTTTAATTTACAAGAGAATATCTGAGTTACTTTTTCAAATAAGTAACGCAAGTTACTTTTTTTTCCAATTTATTGATTGACAGCTCTCCTGTCCCCATGCATGTTGAGAGAAATCAGAAGATGTTACTGTAGTTCTAAAATAAAT